GCTGGCCGGTGGAGAGCAGGTGCGAGGCGGCGGCGGCGGGCGAGCCGAGCCCCGTGGAGCTGAAGGCCGAGTGCGTGAGCGAGCCGAAGTCGGGGTTGTAGGTGCCCAGCTGCGAGTGCAGCGAGGCCTGGGGGGCGCCCGAGTGCAGCGAGCCCTGCAGCCCGCCGCCGGCGTTGGGCACGTCGAGCCACGAGCCGGGGCTGCCGTGCACGTCCCACCAGGGCGACGCCGCGCCGTTGGCCACCTCGCCGGCCGCCAGCGTCGAGTGGAAGCCGGACTTGTACCACGACTCGTAGGGGTGCGCCATGCCCACGCGCGGGTACAGCCCGTCGGCCGCCGTCGTGTGCACCTTGGAGAGGAAGGCCGACTGGCCGCCCGCCTCCTGCGGGGACACGCCGGCCGCCGCCGCCGCCGCCGCCGCCGCCGAGTTGGAGAAGAGGCCGCCGTAGTCGCTGCTGAAGGCCGACGACGTGGGCGACGTGGACGCCAGGCAGAAGGCGCTGTTGGCGGCGCCCGAGCCGCCCGCCAGGCCGCCCGAGCCGCGGCCGCCCGTGGCCACGGCGAAGCCCGACAGGCCCGAGCCGAGGTTGCAGCTGGACGACGAGCGCTTCCAGGGGTGGAAGCCGCCCTTGGCGAAGGCGCTGGACTCGGGCAGCGTGCTCAGCGGGCTCGTGTTGCCGATCTTGTTGCAGGTCGCCGCCAGCATGGCCAGCGGGGTGGTTCCGAAGCGCGGCTCTTCCTGGGGGGGGGGGGGGGGGGGGACGAAGAGGAGGAGGTGGGGGAGACACAAAGTGCAGCGGTGAGCAGCCGCGTCCCCCCGCCCGGCCCCGCAGCGCCCGCCACCCCGGCTCCTCCCCGGGGAGCCCGCGGAGCAGGGACGCCTCGGGTGGTTGTTTTTCCTCCGCCTCGTTCGCTGCCACCCGCGTCCGTAAGCCCGCTCTTCCCTCAGAAGCCCCCCCCCCACACACACACACAAGTCGCCTTTCCGGGTACAGCAAGCAGGTAAACACGGACGACAGGCAGCGGGGGAGGGAGGATGGGTGGGGGCGTGGGTGGGGGTGGCGGACGGCTGGAACGGCCGCCCAGGGCTGGGAGAGAAACTTAGAGCACTCCCCGAGTGAGTGGCTACGGCTTGGCGATTTTCCTTCACGGTTCAAAAAACGTGCTTTTAATATTTACGCACGCACACACACACACACACACGCACACACACAGAGACACCGATCACAAACGATCCGAGCATGAGCGCCCCTTGGTCTGCGCTCCGCGTCAAGGACGAGGCGGGAGCCACACCAACGTGGAGGTTTGTTCGTGTGACTGCACGGCCTGCACAGCACGACTCCTCCGAAGACAGTCGAGCAAGGCGGCAATTGCCCGAGCCAAGAGTGTGTATGTGTGTGTGTGTGTGGGGGGGGAATCAAAGACCGAGAAGGAGGAAAAGAGACCCTCAGCTCCGCCTCAGTTGGAAGGGAACTTGCCGGGGAAACTCTCCTCTCCAGAGGCAGCGGCCCCGGCTCCCGAGCGCTCGACGAGGCGCGCTCCGGGCGTGCGGGAGATGCCAAAGAGGAGCCTGGGGCTGCGGGGCCAGCAACAGTTTCCTGTGCGCCCGGGACCCGGGGAGGCCGCGAAAGGGGGGGGGGGAGGAGAAGGGGGAAGAGCCCCGCGCAGGGCGCCGCGGCGGCCCCACTTACCCCGAGG